TGAATGAGCTATATATCCAGAATGAATGAATTATATAGTTCAAATTATGCACAACATAACGTCGTTAACGGCAATTGAAGCTGTTTTTTTTTTTTTTTAAAGATGGACGTCAAAACGACATCGTTTTTGCAACCGTGTGCACCATGCATGGTGCACACGGTTGCACAGCATAACGCTCCGTTTTTTTTTGGTTTTGAGCCGATTTTTTGCAAGATGAATAAAGACTTTAATTTTAAGATATGTACTAACTTTTTAATAATTTGTAATTTTGATTAGTATTTAAATAATTGTTTTTAATAATTTCTAATTTTGATTAGTTTTATTTATTATTAAAGATTTAAATTTTTATAGTAAAAAACGATTGATATGAGATCATAATACTTAAATTTTTCATACCGTGCATTGCATGGGTAAAATACTAGTTGCTATTATAGCAACTAGTAATTCACTCGCGCGATGCACGGGGAAAAAATTATGTTATTATAAATAAAAAAAAATTAATTGTTTAATATAATAATATTTTTGAGCTTCCATTGGTCAAGTATTTATTATTTTTATAGAATACAAAATTATAACTAAAATTTTGTATGGTTAATATAATCTATAGTTATGTACATAATTACATTGATTTATTCTTAATTGTATTTCATCTATATTATAATTTTCACAATACGAATAATAACTAAGATAATTACATTTAGAAAGCAAATTTCAAATTTTGTATGAGTAAATTTAAACTCTAATTGAACACATTTTTTTATATGATTATATAATATATTCTTTATGCACATGTCATTCCATAAACTCAAATGTCATTTTATAAGTCCAAGACCACTTTTTATGGAGATAATTCAAATGTATTTTTTTCTTTTAAAAGTCCTAAGTTTAGACATCCAGAAAAACATTAAAGACCCATACGATATATACATTTATATATATTTAAATTTTTATTTATGGCTTAAATGATTTTTTTAATTCTGAAGTCCAATAATTGACCCCTACGGCCCGCAACATTTGCTTTCTTCATCCCTTCTCGCTTCTGCCATTTCTTTGATGCATTTGAGAGGGAGAAAAATTATATGTAGATGCTTGCATTAATTGCACTGTTTCAGATATCGAATAGGCTTTCATCGAAAATTTAATTAATATTGTTGATGGATTATATGAACCCGGGGGTCCGGATTATACAACCCGAATATATATTAAATACGAAGAACGGATAATAAAACGGTAAATATTGTATTGCTTGGATATAAAACTCTATTACAGAGGTTCGTGACGTGTAATAACAAGGCAAATGCTGTAGGAAAAGTCCGAGATGTCTCCTTAGGACACCGGGGGGTGTTTATATACCCCTGACTGCCACGGGCCCCGGGCCCGCGGCGCGGGACTCGCTCCACGCGAGGACCCGGCCATTGGCCAAGCACGGAGCTCGGCCGAGGCCCATGGGGGCCGAGGCCGAGCCCATGTGGCCGAGCCCAAGGGGTTCGGTCGAGCTCTGGGGGTCGGCCCAGGCCGACCCCCCACTGGGCCGACCCCGGGGTGGTTCGTCCTGCTCCGGGTCTGACCCGGCTTGTCCTGCATTGCTCCGCTCCGGCTCCGTGATTATTCCATCATCAGTCCCCCACTCTCGGGGCTGCAAGGAGTCGTCAGCGCGAGAGTAAAAATAAATTTAATAATTACGGGGCCCTGAATTATGTCCAAAAAATCCACCCCTTCCTCTCGCAGAACTCTTGATGCGATAGGACTCTTAACCGGATTGGGATTCAAGCCTGCATAAATTCTCATAAGTTAAGAGTCCTCATTCTACCATAACTCTTCCACTCCTCCTTTAAATATCCCTCCCATCTCTTCAAACCCCCTCACCTTCCCCACATTTCACTTTTCCCTCTCCGCAAAGTTTCCCCCCTTTTCCCCAAAAAAAATCTGCTCTTTCCCCCCCCCCCCCCCCTTTTTTTTTTCCTCTCCTATATAAAGTAGCTTCCCTCTCCTCCCCCCCCACCCACACACACAAAGCCCCACAAATCTTCAAAATTTCTCTCCCTCTCCTCTCCCCCCTTTCCGGCCAGCCCTGCCGCCGACCGCCGCCGACCGCCGTTCGCCGCCTGCCACCGACCAGTATCCCGGCCGACCCCAGCCCCCTGCCGAGGCCGACCCCCCCCAACGCCGACCCTGAGCCGCCGCCAGCCGACCCCGAGCCCCCGCGCCTCCCTCTTCACCCCTTCCTCGTCAAGCTCTTAAACTACCATTGCGTGTCTGTGGGTCAGCTAGTCCCCAACTCCCACCGGGCGGTGGCGGCTTTTATCATCCGATGCGTCGAGGTGGATATTCACCCCACCCTAGAGCTTTTCCACTCATTCTTCACTGCGACCAGCTCTTCATCTAAGGAGAGCAAGGGGTTCATGGCATTCGCGGCTCGGCCGGGGACGAGGATCATGGATCACGTGCGGGACTTCAACAAGGGTTGGAAGCCCAAATTCGTGTTTGTCTCTACTGGTGCGGCGCTCCCCTTTGCGGTGCCGTGGGGCGGCTATTTCCGCAAGTGTCGTGGCCCGCGGTGCACCTCGGCGCTCGAGGTTTTGATCCGGGATTTTTTGGGCGGTACGGCTGGCATGCTAGACTCTGAGGCTCTTGTTGACCGCGTGTCCTTGGTCAGGGCGGGTTTTTCTCGCGACCCCCCTCCTTTGCCTCCTCTCGGCACTCCTGCCCCTCCTCCCGACTCTGCGGGGGAGACCGAGGAGGAGTCTACTAGTGACGATTCGGAGGACGACATTATAGAGATACGGGCGGACCCTTCGACACCTCCCCCCGCCAGCTCTGGTCTGTCACCTCGCCGACGTGCTCACTTGCTTATGCTTTCTTGTTTGAAGTGCTCATTGGCTTGTCTTGGTGTTTAGGTATGGCTCCCCGCCGCGCTGCCCTTGCGTCACTCATAGAGAGTTTGAGGAACCGTGGTGGCGAGGACTCGAAGCGCCGCAAGACCGGCGAGACCAGCCATGCTACCTCAGACGTCCGGGCTCTCCTACGGGGGTCACGCCGCCGCGAGGCGAGGTCCGCCTCTGACGCAGACCGCGTGCCGGACGGTCCCCCGTCCGACTCCACCCTTCGAGCTCCGATGCCCGTGGCGCCTCATCAGGACGCCTCGACTGACTGGTCCGTCCAGTTCCCGCTCGCAGCCTCGCTGCTCAGCGGGGATGTCCCCTCGGAGGCCTTTATGCGCAGTCTCGTCCAGCCGCGCGATATGGCCCTGCACGAGGACCACGCCATCATCCGCCCTTTGTTTGAGGTATGTTCTCCCTTTTCGTTGAATGACGCTTATATTTCCTTGTTTTGTTATCTTGTCTTCTATTCATGCTTGTCCTCGTACAGACGGTTGTTCGTGCCATGACCCTGGAGAGAGCCATAGGGGGCATCCGCGAGCAGCTGGAGACCGAGACGCGGGCTCGCCAGGTCGTGAGTGATAGACTTGCTGCGCTAGAGGATCAGCACGCCGCGTTGATTGACAGCCGGTCGCGGGAGCGTAATGCGCATCAGGTGGCCCTGAAGGAGGCTGCGAGGGTGGCGGTTTCAGCTTACAAGGACTCCCAGGCCTTCATCCAGGATATCCAGGCCTACATCTCTGCGCACCCCCAGGAGACCCTGACTCATCTTACGAGCTTCCCTGAGGGGAATGAGTGTTTGGGTCGGCATGGGATGGAGTTGTACGAGGCGGGGGAGTCTTCCATGCAAGGCAAGATCTATGCAGTTCATCGTGCCAGAGACGCGTCCTTTGACCCCGTTGCATGGGGCCTGCCCGAGGAGTGGGAGGAGGAGCCAGGTGATCCCATGGATGTGGCTGTGGGTGAGGACGGCGAGCGTCCACCCTTGGACTCGGCGGCCGACCGCTCGTCGAGTGCGGACTTCGCAGCCGACCTTCTTCGCTTTGCCGGTGTGGGTGCCCCCGAGGAGGAGACTCAGGCTGCCTTGGGCGATGATGACGGCACCCGCGAGGCCACGCAGCCCTGACGTCTTTCCATGTTGGCGGCCTCTCATCTCTATCTGCATAGACTATCTTTCTATTTTTCTTAGACTGGCGTTACTTCGTTGTTATTTCGCTTAGACTGGTGTTACTTCGTTGCTTGGGTTGCCGCCCCTATGCTTCTTTTGTTTATTTTGCTTGCTTTGGACATATCGGCTGGTGTTATAACATTGTTTGCTATGATACCGCTCTTCTATTTCGTCTTATGCTTCGTCTGTTTTACTTGTGTATTCCTCTTGATTGCTCCTCGTCCACACTTGGGACTGATGAATTCTGGTACCGCGGGAGTTTAACTACCCGCTATCGCGGTGTCAGCTAGCCTGGGTCGGCCAGCCGACCCCTCGGGGTCTGCCGGTGGGTTATTCGTCTGGCGTCGAGCGAGGTTAGACCTCGTACCGCCTCTGGGGCGCTGGGGTTGCATTGCGCCCGTCCGGCGACAGGTGAGGTCGGACCTCATGTCGCCCCTAAGGCGCCTTAGCGATTCTTGGGATGGAGTGCCAACGACTCGCGTCCCGAATCCTTCCGTTCGGCGGTAGGCGAGGGCGGACCTCGTATCGCCCCAAGGGCGTTTGAGGTTGCGTTTCGCCCGTCCGGCGACAGGTGAGGTCGGACCTCATGTCGCCCCTAGGACGCCTTAGTGATTCTTGGGATGGAGTCCAACGACTCGCGTCCCGAATCCTTCCGTTCGGCGGTAGGCGAGGGCGGACCTCGTACCACCCTTAGGGCGTGTGTTATATCCGATGTGGTCGCCGACCTCCAGTTCTGGCTGACCTCGTGCCGGCCGACCACCCAGGTCTGACCGACCCCGTGCCGGCCGACCTCGGGTAGGTCGGCCTTGGGGTGCCTTCGCTTGTCCGCCATTCGGGACAGGGTAACTTGTTAAAAAAAAAAAAACTTCTTATTCCATTGCGAATGTAAACAAACATTATTGTGGGGACCTGGCCTTTTATTGGGAAGGGGGACAGGCCATACAAATGAATGTCTACTGGTAGAACTTCAACAAGTGCTCTGAGTTCCAAACCCTGTCTACCACCTTGCCCGATGTGGTCCTTAGCTTGTAACTGCCCGGTCGTACTATGGCCTCAATAACATACGGTCCCTCCCATTTCGTTGCAAATTTGCCTCCATCTTGGGGTCGGCTTGCCTCCCTCCTTCGGAGGACGTAGTCACCAACCTGGAAGTAACGGGGTCGGACTCGGCTGTCATGGTAAGCTTTTGTCTGGCGTTGGTAATTTTCTGCGCGAGCCATGGCCTCCTCCCTTCTGTCGTCGATGAGGTGGAGGTCGGCGGCGTGGTGTTGTTCGTTGAGGTCGGGGTCGTACACTGCGACTCGATAGGATGGTATCACGGCTTCAGTGGGAGCCCGTGCTTCGAACCCGTATGCCAGCGCGAACGGTGTCTCCCCGGTGGCCCTTCTTGGGGTGGTGCGGTATGCCCATAGGACGGTGTCCAACTCCTCTACCCATGTTCCTCCGGCTGCGTCCAGGTTCTTCTTGATGCCGTCGATTATAGTTCTGTTGGCGTTCTCCACCTGCCCATTCGCTTGTGGGTACGCCACCACCACGCGGGTGTGTTTTATGTACCATTGGTCGCAGAATGCCTTAAATTCCTTACTTTCGAATTGGCGCCCATTGTCGGAGATGATGCATGGGGACCCCAAAACGGTATAAAATGTTCCTCCGTATGAACTCCGTGCACCGGGTGCTTGTGATGGTGGCGAGGGGTTCCACCTCCACCCACTTTGTGAAATAGTCTATGGCGACTGTTATGTACTTCCTCTTTGCGGACCCCATGGGTAGGGCCCCGACGATGTCGATCCCCCAACGTGAAAACGGGATTACCGTGCTGATTGGCGTGTAGCTGGTAGCCGGCCGTCCCGGCTCCGCGTGAAAGTGCTGGCAAGTCGGGCACCCCCGGGCGTACTCTGCACATTCCTTGGCTATGCTTGGCCAAAAGTACCCTTGCAATAGGGCCCTCCTCGCCATGGTGAAGGCTCCTTGGTGTGCGGCGCAGGTGCCTTCGTGTATCTCCTCCTTGACGGACTTGGCTTCGTCCGGGTATAGGCATCGGAGGAGGGCACCGTTGTATGACCTTTTGTAAAGGGTGTCTCCAAGGAGGACGTATGTTGGTGATCTCCTCTTGACCGCCTTGGCGGCTGCCTCGTCTGTTGGTAGGGTACCCGTTCTCTATACTCGATCAGGTGGTCCAACCAGCACGGGGACCGTGTCTGTATGGGGAGGACGGGGTAGGCCTCCAGGCTGGACCTCTGGAGGTCTTCAATCCGTGCTATCTTAGAGACATGCTCCGGGGTGCCGAGGCCGAGCTTGGAGAGCACATCCGCGTCCCCGTTTTGACTTCGGGGTACCTGCAAAATTTCGTAGAGGGTCAATTGACCGAGGACCTGGACTACCACGTCGCGGTATCTCCGCATTCTCTCCTCGTTGGCCTCGAATTCACCGTTCACCTGTCCGACCACCAGTCGGGAGTCGCACCGCACCCTTATTTTGGAGGCCCTCAGACCCAATGCCAGCCTGAGGCCACCCAATAGTGCCTCGTATTCAGCCTCATTGTTAGACAGCTTAAAGTGGAAACGAAGGGCGTTGTAGGCCCGGAACCCCTCCGGTGTTACGAGTACTACCCCTCCGCCACACCCTTTGAGGCCGGACGAGCCATCCGTGGACAGGGTCCACCAATCCTCCTCATCGCTCCGGGCTAGTTCGGCGGCCTCGCGAGCGGTGCACTCGACTATGAAGTCGGCGAGCGCCTGCCCTTTGATTGCCGGTCGGGGCTTGAACTGGACATCATATTGGCTTAACCGTATGGACCACTTGACCAATCTGCTTGCCGACCCTGAGGCCCTCAATACTGCCTCAAGGGGTTGGTTGGTGAGGACCCGTACGGGGTGTGCTTGGAAGTAATGCCCGAGCTTCTTGGCCGTGGCATCCACGGCGAAGATTGCTTTCTCCGTGGGTGAGTACCTGAGCTCGGCGCCTCGGAGGGCTCTGCTCACGTAGTACACCGGGCGTTGGGTTCCCGCATCATCCCGGACCAGTACGGAGCTGATCGTGGCCTGCGAGATGCCCAAGTACAGGTACAAGACCTCCCCTTTCTCCGGTTTGGCTAGGGGGGGTAGCGTCATGAGGTACGTCTTGAGGTCCTCAAAGGCTTTCTGGCATTCGTCTGACCACTCGAACCCCTGGTTCTTCTTGAGGACCCCAAAAAATGGCAGGGACCTCTCGGCTGACCTTGAAAGGAATCGACCGAGAGCTGCCAGCCGACCATTGAGGCGCTGGACCTCACGGAGGGACCTCGGAGGTTCCATCTCCAGGATGGCCTTGACTTTTTCGGGGTTGGGTTCAATACCCCTCTTTGAGACCATGTACCCCAAGAATTTCCCTCCGTGTACCCCGAAAGTGCATTTCTTGGGGTTCAAACGTAAATCAAAATGTCTCATAATGGAAAATACCTCGGTCAAGTCGGCTGGGTGTAGGTCGGCATCCGTGCTTTTCACAATCATGTCGTCCACATAGGCCTATAGGTTCCGGCCGAGGACCCTCTTGAACACCTTGGCCACCATTATTGTGTATGTGGCTCCCGAGTTCTTGAGCCCGAACGCCATGACCCGATAGCAAAAGACCCCTTCGGGGGTGGTGAACGCCGTTTTTTCTTCGTCTTCCTCGTGCATGAAAATTTGGTGGTACCCCCGGAAGGCGTCTAGGAAGCTCATGAGTGCGCATCCTGCAGTTTCGTCCACCAGCTGGTCTATGTTGGGTAGTGGAAAGGGGTTCATGGGGCATGCCTTGTTGAGGTCCGTGTAGTCCACACACATCCTCCACGTAGGTGGTTTAGGTGCGAGGACTACGTTCGCGAGCCATGTCGGGTATGTGACCTCCCTGATGTGCCCGATCTCGAGGAGGGTGTCGACCTCCTTCTTCACAAACTCCCGTCTATCAGCGGCGAGGTAGCGCTTCCTTTGTTGGACCGGTTTGGCTTTGGGGTCCACCGCCAGTTTATGCGTGATGACCTCCCGGCTGAGGCCCGGCATGTCTTCGGGACCCCAAGCGAACACGTCTTTATAGCTGCGGATGACCTCGACAATCCGTCCTCGGAGGTCAGCTGGGAGGCCGGTGCCCACCTTCACCATCCTGTCAGGTCGGCTGAGGTCCAGGATGACCTCTTCCGTCTCCACCACGGGTTCGGCGCGGGGCCGCTTCTCCTCTTCCCGGAGGGCCCTCTCGGTTACTGTGTGTACCTGGAGGTCCTTCTTCGTTATTTGGCGGCAGGCCTTCAAGTAACAGCTTCGACTGACTTTCTGGTCCCCCCTCGCGGTGCCCACTCCGGTGGGAGTAGGAAATTTGAGGCAAAGGTGCTCCATAGAGATGACGCACCTGAGGTCCTCCAAGGCAGGTCTGCCAAGGATGATGTTGTGGGCGCAGCTGATCTTTACCACCACGAACTCTACGTCCCATGTCTCGACGTGCGGCGGGGTGCCGATCTGCGCTTTAAGGATGACGGACCCTTCTGTCTCAATGGAGTCTCCGGTGAAGCCGGATAGCGGGGTCCGAACCTGGGAAAGTTGCTTCCTGGATAACCCGAGTTGCGTGAAGGTGTCATAATACATGACATTCACGGAGTTCCCCGTATCTACCAGTACCCGGTGGACGATGGTGTCATTAAGGTCCAAGCGGATTACCAATGCGTCCCGGTGGGGTAAGGGTCCATCCGGGAGGTCGTCGTCGGCGAACGTTATGGGCTCCCTGCGTGTCCTCTTCTCATGGGGTGCTCTGACGACCTCCCCAACGTATAGGCTCCTCGCCCACTTCTTCCTCTCAGTGGGTGTGTCCCCTCCCTCCGGGCCGCCGAAGATGACATGGATGACCTTCTTCTTTGGTGGGCTGTCTGGCTCGGTCCCCTCGTCCTCCGTGAGGTGGTCGAGCTCCCTTTTGCGCGGGGCAGAAGTAGAAGGCCCGGTGCCATCCTTCTTCTTTCGGGTGTTGTCAGGGCCTTTTGCGTGGTCCTGCCCGGACCTCTTCACGTATTGCCCCAGGTATCCTCGTTGAATGAGCTCCTCAATCTGCGTCTTGAGGACCATACATTCGTCGGTGTCGTGTCCACGTTGCCGATGGAAGCGGCAATACTTCTTCGGGTCGGCTTTGGGGGAAATCTTTAAGCATTCCTCGGGGAACGACACGATGCCCATGTCCTCGGCATGGTCCAGGATTACGCTAACAGGCTGTGTCAACGGGGTCAAGTGTCGTAGCGGGGCTAGACGGGGACCCCGGTCACGTCGCGACCGGGGAGGGCGGCGATCCTCTTGAGGGTGAGATGCTCTGTCACCCTGTCCGCGGCCTTTCTCCTTCTCCTTCTTCCTCTTCTCTGCTGCTTCTGCATTGGCGTACCGCGCGGTGCGGTCCATCAGTTCTTCATAGGTTTTCGGCTCAATCCGAACAAGGTCGCTGTGGAAAGGGCCCGACCTGAGGTTGTTGGTGAAAAACGGGATGGCGGACCTTTCATAAAAATTTGTTACCCCTATAGCTTCTTTCTTCCACTTACTCTGGTACTCCGCCAGAGATTCCGACTTGTCTTGCTTCAGGTAACATAGGTCGGCAAACTGCTTTCGCCATTGTACGCTACCCGCAAAGTGCGACAGGAACATCTTGGTCAGGACCGCAAAAGTGGGAATGGAGTCCCCCGGGAGGGACCCGAACCAATCCTGGGCCTGCCTATCCAGAGTCGTGCAAAAACCGCGACACATGATGGCGTCATTTATGCCCGTCATCATCATGATCGCCTTGTACCTGTTGAGGTGGTCCCGCGGGTCCGTCGCCCCCGTGTAGGGTTTGATGGTCGAGAACCGGAAGTCCCGGGGTAAAGGCTCGGCCATGATGGCCTCTGTGAAGGGTGTGGCCAGGGCGTCCGGGGGCTCCGGGGAGTCGTCGCGCGCCTCCATCTTGCGCTGCAACTCGTGGACCTGTCGACGCAACTGTTGCATCTCTTCGCGTTGGGTGCTCGGGGGTTGGCCTCTGGTCTCCCCTGAGCGTTCCACGGGTGGGGCCGGCTCCCGCTGCCTCGGGACACGGGGTTCGTGGCTTCGGGACCTCCGCGAGCACGATGACTCCTCCTGCCTGACGTGTGTGCTCGGCCCCGGCCCTAGGCGGTCTCGCGCCGGTACGCGTGGACCCAACCGCCCAAGCGCGGAGGTGGTACGCGCCTGCCAAGTTCGCCCTTCATTTCGCTGCTCGTGTCGGGCTCGGGTGGCTTCCGCCCCGTCGCGCCTCCCAGAAGGTCGTTGTGAATTGACTTCCTCCTCAGCCGGTGCTGCGGGTTCCCGGGGCGCCTGAGTCCTGCGGCCGCTGCGCAGCCTCGGAGGGGGCGGAGGTGGGGGCGCTGGGCCTCCCCGGCGCAGCCCTGCCGCGACGCGGTTGAGCGCGTTCGCCGCCTATTCTAGTATGAAGGCATCTTGTTGGGAGGTCGGGACCTGAGGTGGTGCGGGTGGCGCTGCCCCGCCGAGAGGGCGATTGTTGGTGAGACGGCTCCGAAGGTCCCCCACGGCCCCCTGTCGACTCCCGTTGATCTGGTCCCGGAGGTCCTCCTCGACCCCTACGAACATGGTCTGTCGGCTCACCACGATCTCGTTGGGGCGGTTGACGAGGGCGAGGTCGCGTGGGTTGCGCGAGCCCCACGAGTTGTGGGTGTTCGACCCGGATCTTGTCATTGCTGTCAATGCAGGATAATAGGGAGAGCGCTTAAGCTTGAACAACCGCTCTCAACAAGAGCACCAATGATGGATTATATGAACCCGAGGGTCCGGATTATACAACCCGAATATATATTGAATACGAAGAACGGATAATAAAACGGTAAATATTGTATTGATTGGATATAAAACGCTATTACAGAGGTTCGGGGCGTGTAATAACAAGGCAAATGCTGTAGGAAAAGTCCGAGATGTCTCCTTAGGACACCGGGGGGTGTTTATATACCCCTGACTGCCACGGGCCCCGGGTCCGCGAGAGGAGCCGCGGCCCGCGACGCGGGACTCGCTCCACGCGAGGACCCGGCCATTGGCCAAGCACGGAGCTCGGCCAACGGGCCGAGCCCATGTGGCCGAGCCCAAGGGGCTCGGCCGAGCTCTGGGGGTCGGCCCAGGCCGACCCCGCACTGGGCCGACCCCGGGGTGGTTGGTCGACCCCGGGGTGGTTCGTCCTGCTCCTGGTCTGACCCGGCTTGCCCTGCGTTGCTCCGCTCCGGCTCCGTGATTATTCCATCAATTGTAATCCCAAGAACCACCATAAATAACAAAAGCATATCAAATAAACTTTCATTGTAAAGTTAGAGATTTAATTAATATTGCATCGTTTCATATTTTCTATTAATCGGGAATCGGAATCCTTAATCCTAATATCATAACATTTAATAATTCCTTTAATTCAATAAATGTAATCCTTTGTTATGAGCGAGAAAAAAAATAGCTATTTTATTTTTCAAATGTTGTGTGTTTTTTTTTTTTTTATAGTAAAATATGTTGTGGCTATTTTATATTTATAGCTAGTAATAATAATAATGTTGGTAATTAATTGTAACATTAATTATTTCCCAACCATATAGCTTTATTAAATGTAAGATGACTGCAATACTTTTATGAACAAACATTTGTCAAACAAATGAAAGATGAGAGCTTCCTTGTGATGATACTTTGTCTTTGTACCTAGTAGCGAAATGAAGAATGCAATAAATATTATGTGGACCATACTCCTATTTATAAGTTGTAACGCTTGTTTAATTATGGCAAGTTTTATTGGATTTGCATAATTTGGAAACGATGCCAATCTTTGCATGAACCTGATGAGTTGGCTCGATAAAATTGAAAAATTTAGGGCTTGACCTAAAATATTTTATACCGATAAGCTTGGTGCCTGTTACCGTCGTTTATTATCATCGTGAAATATAACGACGAAAATAATTGTCATCGCGATTCAGTCGCTAACATTTTCATTGCAAATTTCGTCTTTCGTCACAAAATTGCGTCGCGATTCTGCTAAAGTATTTTTTTTTTAAATATTTTTGTAATTATTATTATTTTGTTAAAATTCTATTGTTTGTATTTAAAATGTTAATATGCAATTATATTTATTTATAAACAGAAGCTGTATTAAAACTAAAATGCAATATAATTTGTAAAATTCATTGGTGTTCATTCAAATCAAATCATGAAGTCTAAATAGTTCACAAGTACAACTCTAAATTGCAATAACAGAAATAAACCAGAAAATAAGACTCTAAGAGCACAATTAGGCATAATATATAAGCATGAAGTAGCTTCCAAATACTCTACACTCTTGTAATAACCACCAACTTTTCAACACCCTTCAGTTCCAC